GAAGTCTTTTTAATAACGGAGGGAGTATATATATATATATATATATATATATATAGATATATATATATATATATATATATATATATATATATATATATATATATATATATATATATATATATATATATATATATATATATATATATATATATATATATATATATATATATATATATATATATATATATATATATATATATATATATATACTCCCTCCGTTATTAAAAAGACTTCCTATTTTGACCAAGTGTAAAAATAAAAAAGTGTTAAATTATAATTGACTTCTAATTTTGCCTCTGATGTGCTGGTTAAAAGTAAAAAGTGATGGATAGTTTATTAAAAAAGTGTGATGTGATAGGTAGAGTATGAAAAAGTAAATAAGGGTAAAAGTAGTTTTTTAATATAAAGTGGAAGTGTTTTGTTAGAAGTAGAAAAAAATAAGAGAAAAAATATTTTTGATAACGGAGGGAGTATATATTAGAGTACCAAAATTATTATCATACTCATATTAATCTCATTTTCCACACATTTAAATATAAAGAGTTGCATTTTATGAGTCACGAGTAATATTTCGTTTCTCTTTAACTATCTGCTTACAATTACATTATGAAATGAAAACACTATGATAATCACATTCATCCTACCGTCACATTTTTTTTCAATTCATATGACCAGTAATGCCTGGTTTTGAAATACTAATATACATATTGTAAAAATAATAAAGAACGGTTTATTGATTGAATGAATAAGAGAGGAATACAAAGTATATATTTATAGGTGGAAGAATATATTTAAGGTAGTATTATATAATAATAACTCTAAGTATAATAGGTAACAACCATAATTATAATATATATTGTTAAATATGTTAAATAATTGATATACATTTAACACATATATTTGAAGTGGTGATCCATTATTCTTGGAGCCATATTGGATGCAAAATGCAACAAAGAGTGCAATGGTAGTGGCAGGATGGCATCGCATGAGTTACAGTTTCCCAGACCACACTTTTATTTCACAAGCCCTTGAAAAACTCATTCGGGAAGTGCATCAAGTGGCCAAAAATGCAAAAACAGATGGAAAATACATGCTCTTTGGTGTTGGCTCCACTCAAACTCCTCAGCGCCGCAGTCTTTGCGCTCTCCATGAACAACACCTTCTCTTCCCCTGCCAAAGTTGTCGCTTCTGCTCCTTACTATTCGGTTAGTCGTCAATAGACAGATTACAATTTGGTGTTAGTTATATTCATATATGGCTAGTTATTTTTTTTTCCAGAATCTGCTTTCTAGTTCTTGAATGGTCAGGTTACAATCTTCTTGTAGTTTTACAAGAAACAAATGGACTTCTTCAGTAATGGGAACTTTGAATTCGCTGGGGATGCAAACTTGTTGAAGACTTCTTCAAATGTGATGAGCAGTGTGATCGAGCTTGTAACGACACCGAACAATCCAGATGGTGTATTGAGAAAGCCAGTTCTACAAGGTTCGTTCGTCAGCGCAATCCATGATCATGCCTACTACTGGCCGCATTTCACTGCGATTCCAGCTCCATCCGATGGAAATTTGTAAATTCTTAAGAGGTTTACTACTTACTCCGTCCCTAAATATTTGCCACATTTGTATTCCCGAAGCAAAATATCAAGTTTTTTGAATTCATTTTATTTACATATTGGTATGAAAATAAAAAATAAAATTTACATATCAAAAAACTACATGAAAAGTTCTTCAAAATAAGAGGTGTCAAGAATATTTTATTTTATCAAATAACCAATTAAACGTAGAAATAAACAAAAGTCCCGCGACTGCTGAAAAAAGCAAACGTTGCAAATATTTTGGGACGGAGGGAGTATCTAGTATGAACCTGTTATGGTTGGTTAATTTTCTTGATGCAAAGCAGAGAGCACCTTAAATTAAAGAATAATGGATTACTTCGGACTTAAGACGACTTAGGGGCTGTTTGTTTCAACCTCTTAATGGTTCAGATGTCTGAATGGTTCAGCACTTAATGGTTCAGACTGTTTGTTTCAGCCTCTTAATGGTTCAGATGTCTGAATGGTTAAGAGATTTGCTTCTGAATGGTTAAGTATTATACAGAGTCTGAATGGTTAAGATCTCTTATCTGAATTGATCAGACATTTGCCTCTGAATAGTTAAGCAATATACTAGCTCTTAATGGTTCAGACCTCTTACTGGTTCAGCACTTAATGGTTCAGACCTCTTACTGGTTCAGCACTTACCTATTCAGAAATTGTCAAACAGCTCCTTAAATTAAGATTGAACTTCCTTATTCATCTTCATTCATTGCTGACCACTGGGCTTAATTTGCCGCAATATCACATTTAGGTCCGTTTGGCTAGGGGTAATATCTTTTCAAAAAAACCTTTGTTACTATTTTCTTCTATTTGTTAACATAAGTGGTAGCCAAATATTTCCTCCATCTAAGGGAAATTTTCTTCTATTTGTTAAAATATATTTGTAAATATGATATTAGCACTAAAACTTAATCATTTCGCTAGATAGTACTTGAATTATTTTATTTCCTAAATAATACTCCCATCATTCCATATTAACTGTTCATTATGACTTTCTTGGTACATTAAGAAATGAATGAATGTAGACATAAAGTATGTCTATATTCATTTATTTTTCAATGTACCAAGAAAGTCATAATGGACAGTTAATATGGAATTGAGGGAGTACTTAACTTATGTCCATAATAACCTGTGATGTCAAACATTACTTGAATAATGACTAATGGATAATGACTAGAAGTCTTCTTCAAGCTCAATGGTCGGACAGCTCCTAGAAGTCTTCAAGCTCAAATTCTTTCAATTTCTTTATCTTCCTCAAGAATTGGTGAGTTGGTATATCGTACATCCGGATGTACCTAGAAATAGATACATCTCGGTAGTACTCAATCTGTAATAAAGTAGTACTCATTCTCGTACAAATATAAACATTCATTTCGAAATACGTAGTACTCATTTTGGCAAAGGTAGTACTCGTTTTAAAATAAAGTACTCATTTTTACACATTTATCTAATATAATTATAATAAATAGCGTAGTGTTCATTCTTTAAAAAAACAATACTCATTCTCAAATAAGGAAATGTTCATTCTGAAATAAAGTATTGTTCAATTTTTTCACAATTAAAAAGTTTAGTATCATTATCAACTTCTTCCTCTGTTCGATTCGTTCCTACTCATTTATACCCTCTGAGCATGGAGAATTTAAAACACAGGTTTATTCATGTTTGTATTCAATAAAAATGTGATAATTCTCATAAGTGCTACTCTTTCTCAAATCTGCTGGTACTCATTGTCATATATAATAGTTCTCATATATGTTCATGACATTAGATAAAAAGTTTGCAAAATTTACAAAAATACCAGGATATACCTAAAGGAAGGTACAGCTGGATGTACCATATAATTTGCCAGAATTGGTAACCCTTATTTGTCAATTTTATCTTTTCCTCTAATTCTATTTAAAAGTTTATTTTTTATTCAATTTTACCATTTTTGTTTGTTAGTTTGTTCCAAAAATTCTAAAAAAATGGTTGGTGTTCTTTTTTGATTTTTTTTGTTTACATTAAATCTCTTATGAATGAGAATTGATTAATACTAATTTTCTTCAATTATTTAGCAAATTGTTGTGGAATTGGTTGAATTGCATAATTTTATTTCATAAGTAGGTTGGTATGTGGAATTTGGTTTTTATTGAAGTTATTTTAGCTCCATAAGGTAGTTAAATGATTTTCGAATTCATACGTGATTCTTTGTTGTGTTTTGTGTTTGTCACGGCTATTTCCATGACAAAAGAGTCTTGTCCTTTTCGATTTTGAATTTTATGAGAAAGGTAAGGAATTGGAACAGCTAAATTTGTGCCTATTGGTTAGAATAAACTCCGTTCGACAACACCGTTAACGTCTTAACGTTTACGCTATTGGCACGGACAAATGCAAAGCCAAATTGAAACGCAAATAGAAACACGCCATGTGGCTACTTTCTTTTTTCCAGCGTAGTCACGGCATGTCCGTGCCTAATATTCCATGCCAATTCTGGGAGTTTTTTGTAGTGTTAGCCCCATAAGTTGATTAATTTTCCTTAGAATTCGTTATGAAGTGATTTTGTTATAATTTCATGTGCTTCTTTGTTATTTTCATTAAGTTGAGGTCATTTAAGCTAAAAAAACAATTCTTATTTTATTGAAAATATGATGTGTTTCTTTATGTAAATAAAAAAAACGTAATTGGTTTGAGAAGTTCATGAAAATATGTATAATGTTCTCATCATTAGGATAAAAAGTTTGTTAAAATGCATAAGGTATTAGCGGTTTGTGAATAAGTTATGTATGTGAGTTGAATAAAAAAAATCGCTCTTTTATAAATTTTTTATTGTAGAAGTATGTTTTCATACTTGAATAGAGAGTTGGGGTTCAAAAGTATATTTCAAAATGGGCATTTGAATTGCATGACTTCGGGCCATGTGGAGAGTTGACAACCCTCCGCATCGTGGTTAAGGAAATGAATCGACTCGGCCTTTGATTAATTTTTCCTATTCTGAAGTGCGTAAGTTACGTAATATATTGTCTACGTGTTTATTATACGTGTAATGTTCGACTTGTGTTTGTTCTCTTTTTCATTTTGTTTTGGGTTTTTGGCGATGTTTCTTGGGTTACCTAAGTTGGAGAAGTTGATTATCTTTAGAGCTTGTTTTCCCCCATTTTATCAAAAAAATCAAAAAATAAGAAAATATAAAAAAACTAAAAATATTTACTTTTATCTAACCCCCCTATTATGTTGTTTTAGTTTTTAATATAAGTTTTTTTACTAAGTTACATTAGAAGTTCTTTATTCATGTAAGTTATTGATAATTAAGTTCTTATATTTATTTAGTTATAGGTTATATTCTGAGTTTATCATATTTGTAGTAGTTAGTTTTATTTTTATTTCGTGACAACGTGATAGTTTGCTAAATTGATTTTAAAAAGTACAAGTTTTCTTATATCAAGGGGGTTAGTTAAGGATATTTTATAAATTTTTAATTTGTTATTACCATCCCATTTGCTATTAAATTGCAGGAGGAGGTGGATGTTCGGAGGTGTGGGTGAAACCATTGCAAATTTCGATACAGAAACCCGTAATGAAGAAAACATCGTGTAAGGGGAGATGGGATGAGACTAGGCCGGAAGAGACGAAAGATGATACGTAAGGCCTGTTCTTTAGGACAGTAAAAAAAGAGCTGGATGTTAGAAGAAACTAGAAAAAACTGGAAGGAACTGGAAAAACTATAAAAAACGGGAAGGAACTGGAAAAAACTGGAAGGAACTGGAAGAAACTGGAAAAAACTGGAAGGAACTAGAAGAAACTGGAAAAAACTAGAAAACCTAAAAAACTTTAAAAATATTTATTTTAAATTCTTGTTGTTATAAATTATTATTATTATTATTATTATTATTATTATTATTATTATTATTATTATCATCATCATCATCATCATCACGTTATCTTAGTAAATGTCTTTAAGATATAAAAAAAGTATTTGTTATTTTTTAAATACAAAAAACTACTTTTACAAAAAATAATTATAATATAAAGTTAGCATAAATATAAAAATATTAAATTTTAAAAAGGTTGTGTTGTTATATTACACCTCAATTTATTCATGCAGTATTTATTATAAATAATGTATTTGTAATTATAATTTATATATTAAAACATTTTGTTTTAAATATCATACATGTCACATAATCAAACCTATTGTTTCTTTCATGATTGACATTTTATTTTCATTGAATTCCTATTTTCGGAATTAAGACATAGAACTTTTTCGTTTACATTTTTATGTTTTACTCATATTTTAGTCTTTTTTCTCTAAGCTCTTTTGACTTATATTTTTTTTATAAAAATTAGAAAAATGAGCAATTTTTAAGTAATAAAGGGGAAACTGAGATGTCTTATAAAAAGTTATATAAATAGAACATTCAATGTAACTATTTTATCCATAATTTTTTAAAATAATTTAACATATTAATGTTTTCCTATTTTATCATGGAGACTAATATACAAAAAAATGTCTTATTCATATTAAAAAGTTAAAGAAAAAAAATAATAAGTGTGAATCGTAAAAATAGTGAGATAAAAAAATAATTTATAAACTACAGTTATGAAAATAATACTTGTAATAATAATAATAATAATAATAATAATAATAATAATAATAATAATAATAATCACATTGAAATATATCATTTTTAGAGTAATTGGTTGAGGAGTAGTAAGAATTTGAAGAAAATGAAAAAAGTTGGAAGAAACTGGAAGAAATTGGAAGAAATTGGAAGAAACAGGAAGGAACTGGAAGAAACTGGAAGAAACTGGAAAAAACTGGAAAAAACTGGAAGGAATTAAAAGAAACTAGAAGTTAAGAGTTCAAGACCTAAAGAACAGACTCGTAGTCATGAGAATTAAGTGGGTGCAAAAAAATAGGGTAACAGTTTCCTAAAATAATGGGGAGTTAATTACTAATCATTTAGACTAAAACATAATGACTTTCTCAATGTAGGACTTGAACTTTTTTATTCTCTAAATAGGACTTAATAATGACCTAGTGAGAGGAATAATGTCCAGTAATGATGGACATTTACTTGAGTAATGACTACTTTATAATGACCAAAGGTCCTATATTGGGAAATAAAACATATGGTTCTATATTGGGAAAATCATTATGTTTTAGTCGTAAATTTCTCTTTATAAAACCATTGACTCAATTTATAAAACCATTGACAGCGTCCCATTTTTTAAAATTGTCTCAATTTATAAAACCATTGACTTAACCACATGAAGAAAATTCAACTTAGTCACCCCTATGGGTGGCAGTACTAATACACAAAGTATTGAGTGCATTAATAAAAATTAATTTTACACAAAATGTTGGTGCGATACAACAACCTTGGGGTATATAGTTAAATTACTCGAAGCGGACATGGAAGAACAAGTCTGAGGCGGCGAAACCTATTTACTTGGTCATCGGAAGGAGAAAATTCAACCCGCAGACTCTGAGCAACAATTATTAAGGTCCCGTTTGGTACATGGAATTCAAATCATGGAATTGGAATTGAGGACTTCAATTCCAATTCTGGTGTTTGGTAATACAAAAATTATGTGGATTTGGAAT